GGGGGCGCCGAGTCTTGGGAAGAACTCCCTGAACTTTCGGTGGCTGACTTGAGAGCTGTCATTTTGAAGTTCCCTGTGTCCACGGCCGTGGGGTGTTGTAAAATACATCCTCGCTCGCTTCAGTACCTTTCAGACCAGGCCCTTGAGGCCTTCGCATCTTTGCTGCATCAATGCGAGCGTCGTCTCTGCTGGCCAAAAGACAGGATTGTGAGCAGGCTCTTCCGTCTGGCCAAGCCAGACGGGGGGCATCGTTTAATTGCGCTCCTAGACTCTTTCATCAGAGTGTGGGCGCGAGCCCGCAGGCCTATCAGCGAGGCCTGGGAGCGTGCCAATAGGACGGAGGAGTTCTGGGGTAGCGGGAAGGGGAGGAGTGCGAGCGATTCTGCCTTCGATTTGAACCTTTCCGCCGAAGTTGCCAAAGCAAAGGGCCTGCACTGGATCAGCGTGCTCCTGGACATGGCCAAGTGTTATGAAATGATCAAGCTTTCGGCTCTCTTTGACGTGTATCGGAGGGTGGGATTCCCCCTTCGATTAGGTTGGATGCTGATTCAAAGCTATGTGACACCCCGTAGGATCGACGCATACGGGAGTTTGAGCGAGAGTTACGTTTCTTTTCAGGGCATTTTAGCAGGTTGTGCGCACGCCTGCGCCAACATGCTTGCAGTGCTGCTAGACCCTGTCAAAAAGATTGTTGCTAGGTATCCGTCTATTAAGCCGAGGGCCCTCATGGATGATATATCCCTTCAATGGTGTGGTGAGACCGCCAAAGGAGGGGAGTTAGTCTTTGCTGCAACGCGAGAGCTGTGCCACCTCCTAGCCCCGATTGGTCTCCTTCTTCAGCCAAACAAGTCTGGGTTCCTCGCGAGCACGACAGCGGCAGAAAAAGAAGTTCGTTTGTCGGCTCGCATGATAGGGTTTCACAGCAAGGCTCATCTTCGCAACTTGGGCCATGATTTGTACGGTAGGCGTGTAATTCGCAAAGTTGAAAAAGCCAGGGTCGCCAAGCTCCAGGGGCGTCGGGCCAAACTTCGGGTCCTGAAGAAAGCCGCGGGGCCTAAGGTGGCCATGCTCTGGCGGACTGGGCTCATGCCCTGTGGGGCCCACGGTGCGGCGGTTTCTGGGGTCTCGGATCAGGTCCTCAGAAGCCTGCGTGCAGTGGCGGCCGAGCTTGCAGGAGCTAGAGGCCGCATGCACGTCACGGCGTTTCTCAGCACGCACCGTGACGAGAACTATGACCCACTAGTCGATGCCACAGTGCCTCTTGTTTTTCGATACTGCTGCTGGGTCTGGGACCGTCGTGCTAGTGATGTAGATCTTTGGCATGCGTGGAACGCGGCGGCCTCACGGCTAGCCAACAGACCGCTCTGGAGGGATGTTCGAGGGCCCGTGGGAGCCGTCTTTTTGAACCTGCTGCGTGTGGGATGGGCCCTTGTGGGACCGACCCATATTCGGACCGACCAGGGAGCTGTTTTGTCGCTTTGCCACGTTTCGCCTTGGGATTTAAAACGCCAGCTCATCGAGGGTATCAACAGGGCTCAGATGATTCAGCTTGTGTCGGCCATCCCCGAAGCTTCTGGCGAGGAGATTGTTTGGGGTCGTGCGCTGCGGGTCGCGGTAAACTCCGTGAGGGAACCTAAGAGGCGCGCGACTTTGAAGGCCTTGCTAGCAGGGGGGCTCTGGCCGCCAGCTCGGAAGTTTAGTCATGGTCTGGCTGATTCGAACCTCTGTCAGTTTTGCAAGCAGCAGATAGGCACATTCGGCCATCACTGGTATGAATGTGAGGAGCTCTGGCGCCAGGGTGACGCCCCAGAGGCAGGGCCCGCATTGCCAGAGGAAAGTTTCAAGCGACGGCAGCTGCTCAAGGACTCGGCTCGAGGAATCCCCCCCGACTTCGATTCGGTTGAGTTGGTTTACGGTTTGCCGTTTCAGCCTGTGGTTTTGGAGCCAGTCCCGAGCGTGCTGCCTGTTTTTTCTTGGGGGGCCACCCACCTTCCTTGGGGAAAACGTGTTTACACCGACGGCTCGGGCCACGCCAACGGAGTCCCCGAGATGGCCCGCTGCGGCTGGGCGGTTGTCGAGATGTCGGCCCGAGGATGGCCGATCAGGGCCCTGTATGGAGGCCTCGCGGGACGGTGCCAGACGGTGCCGCGAGCCGAACGGCAAGCCCTCTTGGAAGCTTTGAAGGTGGTCCCCCCTGGAGCTGAGCTGGTCTCGGACCACCGCTCGGCAGTGATCGAGGGCAACAGCTGGGATCCAGCTCTGGCGACGGGAGCGTTCAAGCACGCGTCAATCTGGAGGCAAATTTTTAAAATCGTCGGATCGAAGGAACGACCTTCCTTCCGTTGGACCCCCGCCCATGGAGATCTGGACGAGATTTTGGAGGGCGAGTGGTCGTTTGTTGAGGCTGGTGTTTCGCGTGAGTCCGATCTCCTTGGGAACGGGTGGGCAGACTTTTTCGCGAAGATGGGTGCTGCTCAGATCCGAGCGGCCGAGAGTGCAGTCGAGGCAGTCAGAGTCGGCCTCAGCGAGGCCAAGCTGAATCTTGATTTTATTTCGCGGGCGGCCCAATTCGTGGCCGCGTCTTCGGTCCCCGAGCCGAGGCCGCCTGCCAGGCCGAGAAACTCCACGGCCCCTCCTTTGGCCCTGATGGCCCACGACCTCGAAACGATTCCGTCGGGAGGTGTGCGGTGCACATGGTGCCACAGTATCGCGAAGTCGGCAGGAGGCCGAGCCAGGCTTGAGCAGCCTAGCGCGGTCTGCAGGCCGACCGACTTGCATTTGTTTTTAGCTGCTGTCCGACACCACCGCCTCGGGGGCGTCCTCCCTAGGGCGCGAGGTGAGGCGGTGCGTCGAGCGTGGCAGGCCCTCGGCTTCGAGGGAGAGCAGGGTGAAGCTGTCGCCCCGCCGTCGGTCTTCCACTTCTTGCAGCACCAGGTCGCGGCTGTTGGCCGCTACCTGATCTGTCAACGTTGTGGGGCCCACGCGCTGATTGAGGCGCCGAGCTGGCGCGCCCTGCTTAAGACCTGCGCGGGACGCATGTCCAAGGACCAGCGGTGGTTCCTGGACCGTGTCTGTGCAGGGCGCGAGCCCCGATAGGGGCGAGCAAGGGTGGGCCGACCCTGGGGGTTAGCCCACCGCCTGCTTGCCCCTATCTGGGGCTCGTTCTTTCCTTGCGGGCGGTGCTGCACTGAGCACCCGCCCTTTCCTTTCTGTTGAGAGGCTTGCCTCTCGGTGCTCGCGGCCAGCGCCCGAACGGACGAGCGCTCGCATCGGCGTGGAACGTGGAACGGGCTGCTGGTGGGTCCCGCGGAGTGAGGCCCGGCGCCGACCTGAGCGGGACCTCGCCGTCCCTGGGGGGCTGCGATCTGTGACACTGTCGCCACATTCGTCCTCCCACTCCCCTCCCCTATCCCACGCCAGTCCTCCTCCGGCCCTTCTCCCCAGGGGGAGGGGTCCCAGGAGGGAGTTGTTTTTCTCCTCCTCCTCCTCCTCCTCCTCTTCCTCATCCTCCTTCTCCTTCTCTCCGCCTCCTCCTCCTCCTCCTCCTTCGCCTCCTCCTCCTCCTCCTTCTCCTCCTCCTTCTGGTCGTCGTCGATGTCTTTCAGGGTCGGCGGTACTGGCCGTCAGGCCTTCATACTAAGCGTCGGGGGGGCGTCACCCCCGCCGACAGCCCCACATCGACCCCCGTCACGGGCAGCCACCGCGCGCCAAAGGCACTCCGACCCCCATCGCGGCGCGACGACGAGGCGAGGTTGACCTCCGTCGTGGGGGACCCCGCCACGCTTAGTAAGAAACCCGGAGTAGAGAGAATGGGAGATAAAGACAGAAAGAGAGAGACAGAGAGAGGATGAGAGAGCTCTCTCCCTGCAGGCGGAGGACGACTGACGACGCCGCCCGCCGACGACGAGCCCCTGCAACCCCCCACGGACACCTCCGAGGACACCCCCAAACGTAGATTATGTTGTCCCTATTGTACTTAAGGACCACATCCCAGGAATATTTCGAGCACCCAGAAAAGTATCGAAACAATGTCGAACGAGTACCGCTTCGAAGAGCCCGACACGCGAAAACCCTCAAGGCTCGGTACCTTCTGGGTGCTCGAATTTCCCCTGGTGGTCAAAGCTAAACTAGGTTGGAATATCATAAGCGTAGAAGAACAAAACACTGCATAAACATAGGCGTTCGGAGGTCCGCGCGGATTTCTTAGACCTGCGCTGATTCCCCATCCCTATAGTGCGCGGAGCGCGTCAGGGGCGGCGCCCGAGGCGCCGCCGGGAGGCTCCGGCGCAGACACCGAAAAGATCTCGCGGAGCTCCGAAGGTGTACACCCTGCGAAATGCTTTAGAAATCATGGGTTAAGAAATGGATAGACTCAGAATTTGAATAAAACCCAGAATTTCGACTGAAATCTTAGGATTTACATTGAAACATCTAGAATAATCGAGACCCTGGCCGAAAACTTAGGTTTTCTTAAGCATCGCCTAAGGTGTATGTTGCTGCACTTTTTCTATCCGAGAGAAACCGCCCAACGCCTCTCCGAGCACCTCCGCGGCCACCCCGAGGACCCCCGACGGACGACACCGCAGCGACGCCGCCGACGCCGAGCACCACGCCCGCGGCGACAGCGGCGGCGGCGGCCGCGGCGGCCACGACCGCGGCGACGGTGGCGGTAGCCTGGCGACGGCAGCGACGGCATTGACGGCCGACGGCGCGCGGCGGCGGCCAGCGAAAGCGGAGACCGAGAGCTTACAGCCGATCCGCACAGCAAGGATCGGCAACCATCCCAAGGCTACCCTTGCATCCTCGCCTCCTCGGCCCATCCTTGGCCACTCTCGTCGGCCGCGCCCCGCTCGCACAGTGCTGGAGTGGGCTTCCAAGGCCCTCGCATCCTTATCGCGCATCCTTACTGTACGGGTTGACTGTACCGAGTCGCCGTGGGCAGCTTCGGCGAGGGCAGTCGGCGGCGGCGGCGGCTTCACTAGCGGCGACGACGGCGGGGCCCAGCAGGTCGCCGACCGGCGCCGCGGCGGGCGCGGCCGCGGCGGGCGCCGCGGCAGCGGGCGGCGGCGGCCCATCTCCTGACGGGCCGGCGGCGGCGACCAGGGCGGGGCGGCGGGGAGGTGAGAATGGTGAGGACATGGTGAGGACGGTGAGGACGGTGAGGACGAAGACCACGTGGACGGCGAGGGACGGTGAGGATCAAGACCACGTGGAGGGCGTCGACGTCGGCGACAGTGGCAGCGGCGGCGGGGATGACGAAGACGAGGAACCCGACGCCGCCATCTTCGCCGTGGGCGGCGACGATGACGACGACGACGACGACGACGACGACGACGACGACGACGACGGGGAGCAAGCTGTGTGGCGTACCGATCCGGTCCTGAGGAACCGGTCCTGCGGAACCTGCAGTGGTCCTGCGGAACCTGCAGTGGTCCTGCGGAACGGGGCCTGTGGAACCAATTCTGTGGAACCAGTCTTGTGGAACTGGTCCTGTGGAATCGGTTCGGCGGAGCCATTTCTGCGGAACGTGTCCCATTGAACTCATCTTCGTTGAACCGAACCGGTCGTCTGTTGAACCGGTCTTCTGCCCAAACGGGCGACCTCAAACGCCATCGTGGTGCTTCACGCGAATTATGAACCGGCGATCCCTGTAGAAGGTTGTAAACCGGCTGAGCGCTGATGCTGACACTCGGAGACGCCCCGACAGTTACAGAACCCGATGAAGGTCAGGAGTCCCTGCGGCGGTGGCGGTCTGCCCGATGAGCGTCGAATGTAGAGAGAAGCGGAGACAGTCGAGCAGTGCTTTTCTCCAAGGCTTCATGAGGCCAGCCTGTGCAAGGGTCTCATTGATGCCTGCGCCAAGCCAGAAGACACGATGGCCAGCGGCGGATGGTCAGAGGAGACGCCAATTACGGTCAAGTTCAAAGAGCAATCGGCAGCGGTGCCTTTAACACCGAGAACGGGTCATTGCCAAAAATCAAGCGACCAAGCCAGACACCTCCCAGGAAGTTGGTAAGGTTCAGGGGAGGAGACAGAAGGAAGGAAGAAAGGGAGCTCGACCCAGGGACATCTAGCGGACAAAGAGTTCTGACCCACGAGGGTCAAAAAAGACTGTCCCGAGCACTGGTAGGTTTGTCGCCCTGACCCAGAAGCCGATGGGCAACAACCACAACGGCGATGCCGAGTGCGCCGAATGTGCACATGCCCACGACAAAATTCCCGCCCGTGATGCTCATGGCTACGACACTGATCCGGACACACACAGCGAACAATCCCGCCGCGCTCAGAAGCACTGGGAACGTCCTGTTGAACCTCAGGCCGAGGGCTCCGAGCGCCGCGCTAACAGCGGAGAAGGGCAGCCAACAGAGAAGCTCATAGGCTCCTGTGTCGGGGCCCCAGAGCATACTGCACGTGCCCAGGAACACCGCCAGCGACCCCACGTTCATCGTCCACGTCACGAGCTCCACGGACCCCCATCTTCCACTGGAGGCACGCAGCGCTGCGGCGGCTCCGATTGCCGCCGCCCCGAGCACCACCAGGCTGCCAGAGCCCCAGTACCAACCGAAGGCATCATCGTCACCATATGCGCCTGGGAACATCCCCCAGATAGCCATGGCGCCCGAGAGCAACCCCGCGAACAAATTCGTCACCAGTACGGCGCGATCTGGATCTTCGGGGAGCTTCCTCATGAGAAACGCAGCGGTTGCGCTCGACGGGATGCTGACGCAAAACAGCACCATCACGGCTGTCACGTTCTGCGAAGTAAGAGATGCGGCCTGCAACCCGATAACGCCCACAACTACAGGGAAATTGGGCCAAAGCATCCCGGCCATCTGCCGTGGCACCGCGCCGATGCAGAACCAAAGAACAATGCCGTAGACGGACGTGAGCACGATACCAACCGCTGCGCTCTGGGTCCAGAAATAACCGACCAAGCCCCAGATGCAAAGCTGGAGCAGCATCGTCGCGATGAAGCCGAACACCTGCATGGGGTCGCACTTCACAGACGTCAGGCTGGCCCCCTGCGGAGCCAGGCCCCCAGGCTGCGCCCGCACCAGCTCCTCCCACGACTTGAAAGCGTAGCCGCGCATGTGGGCCTCGAAACTCCTGCGGGTGACGATGATTGACTCCGGCAGCGCCAAAGGCACCTCCAAAGGGGCAAGCCAAAACACATGTCTTCCGTGCTCGCTCTGCCATCGACTTCGCTCGCTCTCTCCCGGTCCCGCCTCCGCTGCAAAACGAGATCAAAACGAAAACGGCCCACGAGATCGCCAGAATTGGGCGTTGCTTCATGGGGGGGTCGCAAATGGGGGGGTCAGAAAAGGTCCCCTTTCGTGCCCCTTTCGGGCCCCTCCAGAGCCCCAGGGGGCTCGTTTAGGTACCGTTTGGGTACCTTTTCGGACCACCCTCGCCACCCCCCCATTTACGACCCCCCCATTACGCAACGCCCAACAGAACACTGTTTAGCTCGCGCCGGCAGTGGCACCTCCTGCTCACCCT